CCTCCCAGGTAAAGGCAAATTGATATTGGGACCCAACAGCTGGGGGTATGAAAAAAAAAAAAGCATTGGCTAGGTCCCGCACAGCATGATATGTTCCTAGGACCACCTACTATAGTGGCAATATTAGGCACAGCCACATGAATAAGGGGCACTACCCTATTGAGCTCCTTGTAATTTATTGTCATTTTTCAAGAGCCCCTTGGGCTGTTAAAGGCCCTGTGTGCAGGATGCACAATGCCTCACTTGGGGGAGCTCTTGGATAGTTTTCCCTATTTCCTTATGTGTTCCAGGTGATCATGTTTAACTGTCACCACTTTTCCCTCTGGTGGCAAACGAACTGCCTCCCAATTGGCATTGCTCTCTGATTTAATTAATTCTAGTCATAGGCAGAATCCCCAATACAGGTTTATAAAGTCTGGCCTTGCAAGATATTGATGCTGAATATGTTTTCCAGAATTGGGGAGATGAAGACATACTCCCAATGGGGGAGAGTACCCAGTTTGCAGAACCAGGGGAAATTTTTTGACCATTACACACTAGCTTCCATAGCCGTTGATAGCACTGAGGGGGCCAGAGAATTTCTGAGGATTTCCATATATTAGAGTACATTCAGCACCAGTGTCAACTCAACCAAAGTAGTTACCCTGTGTTTATTTCTGGGGGAACCAATGGATGATGAGTTCCTCATGAGGCCTCTGATTGCCCACGGTGGCCTCCACCTGAGGACAATCTTAGCCTTCATCCTATACTGGAGGGGGGCCAGGGGTTCAGGAGCAGAAGTAGGGTTGAGAAGGTGAGCCACAGGGGATTTTTAGGACAATGAAACAATTCTGTATGAAAGGGTAATGGCCAATAAGTGACATTATGCATTTGTCAAAATGTATAGAGTTTTACAATACACACAGTGAACCTTAGTTATACAAAATTTTAAAAAGCCATTTAAGAGACTGGATCCCAAGGAATGAAGACTGAAACTTGAAAATCTAAGTGTATTATAAATGTATCCTATGGAATACAATGAGGCATCCAACCAATGTAAAATGAAATCTCAGAAGGCTCCTCTAAATCTGTTGAGGTGTCTTCTGGGGGAGCCAATGGTATCAATGGTTTTAAAGCTTTCCATAACCCCACTAGCACTGCATTAGGCTGACAATCAGTAAGGTCTTTCGGGGTGCCTGTGGCAACCAGATGGTGCCAGATTTGCTTTCAGGTTATTCTCACAGGACCTTTCTTCCCTGCTGACAAAGTAGATGGGTTGGCCATCTATTTCTATGTGGGGAGGAGTGGCCCATATGTTAGACATGTGTCGACCACAGTGAGAGTATAGGGCCACCCCGAAAAAACCAGCTGGCCTCATGTATTTGTTTGAAGAACTACACATTGCACTCTGTAGCAAGAAAGGAAAGCACATAGTCGCAGCTATAGGCTAGCCCGTCTCATGGGTGGGTTGATTGACTGCCGATGCCCAGTTAAAGGCAGAAGCCAGGGTTAGGAAATTGGAGGCATATCTAAGGGAAACACCAGAAATAAACACAGGGTAACTACTTTGGTTGAGTTGACACTGGTGCTGAATGTACTCTAATGCATGGTAATCCTCAGAAATTCTCTGGCCCCCTCAGTGCTACCAATGGCCATGGAAGCTAGTGTGTAATGGTCAGAAAATTTCCCCTGGTTCTGCAAATTGGGCACTCTCTCCCATTTCCCCCTTTTCTTTCACTCTGTCTGAGTTCCAAGTCCTTCCCATAGCTTGGATGTTCTCTGGAGACTGGTGTGTTTCCCCTAGATCTGCCTCCAATTTCCTAACCCTGACTTCTGCCTTTAGCTGGGCATCGGTAGTCAATCAATCCACCCAATAGATGGGCTAGCCTACAGCTGCGGCCATGTGCTTTCCTTTCTTGCTTGCATAGTGCAATGTGTAGTTCTTCAAACAAATACATGAGGCCAGCTGGTGTTTTTGGGGTGGCCCTATATTCTCACTGTGGTCGACACACGTCTAACATATGGGCCACTCTTCCTCACATAAAAGTAGATGGCCAACCCACGATATCCCCCACAGATGCCTCTTTCCCAAGGCCCATTTCTTCAGTCTCTTGCCTGGCTCACCAATTGTTAGTACACGGTCACCCAGGGAAAGGTCCCAAACTGAAAATCTACCTCCTAAGTAGAGGGCAGGGAAAGACCGAACAAAGGCGGGCCACTCCAGTCTGGTAATTAATAGAGGACAACTTATTTATGGGGCACATCTTGGGTGGCTGCAAGATGAAATGGATTCTGAAGATGTTAAGCAGACACCAGGGAATTATATAAGGGGCAGGGAGAGAATAGTGTACTAGCCTGTAACCGCTACCAGGTACAGGAAATTGCTCTGCATGCTTGACCAGGTCAGAACAACCAGATTGTTTTCTGGATCCAGCCTGTACCAGAAGGCAGGAGAGGGATGCTGGTTTGTGATAGAACACAAGTGATTAATATCAAAACAGTCTTCAAAGGAGTTCCTTTTAATCCAGGTCCAGCTTGCAAGTCAGACTGCCCTGGAACAGTCTCTCCTCCACACACCAAAAACTGAAAGCAACCAAGATGCCTTCAATAGGTGAATGAGTAAACAAACTGCATGTCTGTACAACAGAATATTATTCAGACATAAAAAGAAAGGAGTTACCAAACCACAAAGAGACATGGGTAAATCTTAAATGCATATTGCTAAGTGAAAAAAGCCAGTCTAAAAGGTCTACATACCCTCTGATTCCAATTATATGCCATTCTGGAAAAGGTAAAAATATAGAGACAAAAAAATATCAGTGGTACCCAGGGGTTCAGGGGCAGGTAGTAGGGTTGAGAAGGTGAACCACAGGGGATTTTTAGGACAATGAAACAATTCTGTATGAAAGGGTAATGGCCAATAAGTGACATTATGCATTTGTCAAAATGTATAGAGCTTTACAATACATAAAGTGAACCTTAATTATACAAATTTTTAAAAACTCATTAAGAGAATGGAATCCCAAGGAGTGAAGACTGCAACTTGAAACTCCTATGGAAACATAAAAGTTGATAGTCTGTACACTTTATAGGATGCAATTAAAATGGCATCTTACCTGTGCTGGTCTTCCTCCCCCAAATCCATAACCCTAGTCTAATCATAAAACAGACAAACAAACAAACAAGCATCAGACAAATTCTAATAGAGGGTAATTCTACAAAATACTTGACCAGTGCCTCTCAAAACAGTCAGTCATCAATAACAGGGAAATTCTGAGAAACTGTCACAGTCGAGAGGAGCCTAAGGAGACATCCTATATAATAAAAGGGTAATATGCAAATTGACCCTAACAGCAGAATGACTGGGAATGACTGGTCACTATGACACACACTGACCACCAGGGAGCAGATGCTCAATGCAGAAGATGCCCCCTGGTGGTCAGTGCGCTCCCACAGGGGGAGCTCTGCTCAGCCAGAAGCCAGGCTGCCAGCTGCCAGCACAGCAGTGGTGGTGGGAGCCTCTCCCGCCTCCTCAGCAGCACTAAGGATGTCCTACTGCAGCTTAGGCCTGCTCCTCACTAGCAAGTGGACATCCCCCGAGGGCTCCCAGGATGCCAAAAGGATGTCTGACTGCCAGCTTAGGCCCAATCCCCCAGGGAGTGAGCCTAAGCCAGCAGGTGGACATCCCCCGAGGGGTCCCAGACTGAGAGAGGGTACAGGCTGGGCTGAGGGACCCCCCCTGAGTGCACAAATTTTTGTGCACCAGGCCTCTAGTGTCAAATAAAGATAATGTGGTATCCTGAAAGGGATACTTAAATAGAAAAACATATTAGGTAAAAACTCAGAAAATCTCAATAAACTGGCACACCAATAAACCAACTACTAAAAATTGCCCATCTGACAAAAGAAACAGATACAATTTTGATTCATTCCCACTAGACGGCTATTGTTTTATTGGCTGTTGTTATATTTTTATTTGACAATCTAAGGGAAGAAAGGTCAGTGTCCCTGACTAAATAATCAGGTATTGCATGTTTTAAAAATTCCTGTAGCACACCAGTTGAAAACTGCTGTTAGACAGCAATCACATTGAATGGACTACATCTACCCTCAGCAAAATGCACTTCATCATTATTTGTTCACATTCTTGTCTTCCCCACTAGAGGCTGAGTTACTTGAAGACAAAACCAGGCTTCTCCATTTTGCATTTTATGTGCTGAAGTAAATTAAAGATAAGTAACATGAGCATACTGGTTTCCTCTACTTGTCACACTCCTTTTGTCCTCAGCATATGTCATCCCTCATCCAACCTTTGATTAAACCATCTAATTGAATTCAAATGATACTTCCCCCAGGAAAAACTCCTTAACCAGAAGTTATCATGATTTCTTTCTCTCTGCTGAATTCCTACATAACATTTATTATTGCCTTTACCATGGACCAAACTGACTTTACATGGTTTTGAGTTAAATATCTTTAATCAAATAATTTTAAATGACTAGAAAATAAACTGAATATTTATTAAGTCCTTAATGTGTCTCCAGAGAACCTCAATTTGTACTGATAAGCAAACACACCAAGGAAATAACAAAATTGACAACATAAAAAAAATTCTTAATGACCACAAATAGCCACAAAAACAAGTCAGACACTTAACTTAAAAGGCAAATGGGCTGCAAGAAGTAACACAGAACTAACTAACTAACTAACCTGCAAAGAGCTCATTTGCTCCAGCAGGTTTGTGGTCTCCTCTCTAGTTCGAGCTCCTTGGGCTCACTTCAGAATCAGTGCTTATTTCCTTCTTTCATTCTCTGTTTGCTAAGTCGCTGCTTTAATTATGCTCAACTTAAACAGTTTGCTGGTTGCCAACAACTTGGACAGCTGATTGACACATAGAGCCGAACATACTGTTCTGGTCACCTAACTATATAAAAGTAAAAAAGACCATACAGCCTGGTGTTTATTCACCATTGATTCCCAAATTAACGCATTTGAGAGAAAAAAAAAAAATGAAGAGTTACCTGATCCTTGTACCAAGATGGGAAGCACGAGGAGCTGGAGAATGGGATGGAGTGGGAAGTCCATTAAATTTGATGAGAAAATCTTCTCTAACACTTGGAATACTTTCTTTTCTAACTGAAATCTAGCACTGAAATGCAATTTTCATGTCTTTTGGTATTCTACCAAAATGAGTTACTCATTAACTACTTGCTCTGAAAGTTCGTTAAAAATTTCGTCACCCTCAATTTAGAACTTCCTTGTCTGCCTAATCTACAATGTTACTCAAAATCTTAGGTCTATGCATATAATTTTCTTAAACATATCTACTTGCTATTTTGTAGCTGTCATGTCATTAGTACACAGATTCTAAAATCTCACCTGCTGGCTTGAAAGAAAATTTAATTAGCTTTTCTTTTGGGTGTGTTACTAACCTTTCCCATTCTTTTGTGTTCTATTATTTGTGTACATAACAGGTATCAAACTGGTTTTTCCACAATGAGTAAGATTGAGTGATAAGGCTGCTCTACACAGAGGTATACTAAGTTTCTAAAAATCATTTCTCTTGGCATCTAAATTCCTACAATCTACCTCTTAAACAACTGAAGTAGAAAATTTAACTGTCAGCTGATTTCTCAACAGAAACCATGCAGGCCAGAAGAGAGTGGCAAGAAATATTCAAAGTGATGAATAGCAAGAACCTACAACCAAGATTACTTTATCCAGCAAAGCTATCATTCAGAATTGAAGGTCAGATAAAGAGCTTCACAGATAAGAAAAAGCTAAAGGAGTTCATCACCACCAAACCAGCATTATATGAAATGCTGAAAGGTATTCTTTAAGAAGAGGAAGAAGAAAAAGGAACTCTTACCATTTGCCACACCATGGATGGAACTAGAGAGCATTATGCTAAGTGAAATAAGCCAGTCAGAGAAGGATAAATACCACATGATCTCACTCATTTGTGGAATATAATGAACAACATAAACTGATGAACAAGGACTGATCCAGAGATGGAGAGGCATTGATTGGACTGTCGGGCCTTGGAGGGAAGGTAGGGGAGGGCAGGGTTAAGGGGGAAAGATCAACCAAAGGACTTACATGCAAGCATATAGGTCTAACCAATGGACACGGACAACGGGGGAGTGAGGGCATGAGTGGGGGGGAGGGGTAGAGGGTAACGTGGGGATAAGGACACATATGTAATATCTTAATCAATAAAAAAATATAAAAAAAAAAGAAAGTTGTCCATCTATTTTCACACTAATCAATAAAAAAAAAGAAAAAAAAAGAAAAAGAAAATTTAAAAAAGTAAGTTTCAAATTAAATACTATTTACACATTAAAGTGAAAAAAATAAACACAGACACATTACTTTCATCTTATAAACTCCTCTCTCTACACACTACTTTAAATAGAGAAAGCCCTCCTTTACTGGTGCTTTTGATTTCTATTTTTTCTCCTTTAAATTTTAACCCAGCCATTTGCCTGTTGGTATTTCATGCACACAGACTCATACCAGCCTCCCCAGCATGTCTACCTCCTGCTGAGATTCTGAACAACAGTGCCCATTCATTTCAACAGTCTCATTCATTAAAGTTCAGAGTGTACTTTACCTGACCAATCCATTTGAAAGTAAAGATTTTATTCCGCTTGCACATCTGTTATTCCTGGTATAAAGATTAGTGATCTCTGGACTGTATGTTCTGTCTTACAAGGTAGGGTAGTGATCTTTAAACAGAATCTCAGATTTACACTTAATTAGCCAAACAGCCCAGGGGTGGGGATTAAAGCCAGGGCTGGGATTTGGAGCTAATACTGTCTTCAGAGAAGCAAGGTTGGGCTTGCCTTCTCTGGAGTAAGATCATTAAACAGCCTTCATTTCACAATCATATATCCAAAAAAAAACCCCCACCACCACCACACACACATACATACTCACAAGCACACACACAAAATAATGTGAGCACACACAGGACACATTTGGGGTAATAGCCTTCTCTTTTCCCCTTTGTCACTCACGAATCCCTGGACAAAATTACCTTCCCCTCTCATACCTTTTCCTGCTGCTTCTGCCTCAGAAGAAACAAGTTTCTTCCTTGGCATGGATGATTGCAGCCCCATTCCCCACCCCTCACCAGTATTCCTATGACACTAGGTGTTGGAGGTCTTTCTTCTCTATCTTAAAACAAACCTTTCCTCTATCTAAATTTCAGCCTCTAAACACACACTCTAAGTTCACTACCCACATGAGAACTGTTGTTTTGGTTAATGAGGCAGAAAAAAACTCAGTTCCTAAGGGAAAGGAAACTATGAATCTACTACCTCTAGTGCTGGGAGCCATTCCTGAGAGAGAGGAAGGTGCATTGTGAATAAAGAGGTGTTGGGATTAGGTGCCTAATCAGTGAGTAGCAGTGCCATTAGGTTGGGAAACAGAAGAGTCTATTGAGGTCAAGACTCAGTCTTTGATTCTTTTCTTCTGGGTAATAAAGATGTAAACACAGCATTATAACTTTAATAAATGACTGGGATTCCAGCACAGTGTTCTAAGAATATTATGTCTAAAGAATTAAAGGAAAGTGTGAGAATAATGTCTCATCAAATATAAAATATCAATAAAGAAATAGAAACCATAAAAAGGAATGAATAAAAATCCTGGACTAGCCTGGCCAGTGTGTCTCAGTAGTTGAGCATCGACCTATGAACCAGGAGGTCACGGTTTGATTCCCTTCCTCTCTGAAAGCAACAAAAAATATATGTAAAAAAATTCTGGACTCGAAAGGTACAATAATTTTTTTTTTTTTAATGTGTACTAGAGGGGCTCAACGACAATTTGAGCAGGCAGGAAATCAAATCAGTAAACTTGAAAATAGGTCAATTGAGATTATCCAGTTTGAGGAACAACAGCAAAAACATTGAAGAAGAATGAGCAGAACCTCAGAGACCTGTGGGACACTATCCATAGACCACCATACTCATAATGAGAGTCCCAGAAAAGGGGAGGCAGACAGGGGGGTAGAAATATTTGGAGAAATGATGACTGAAAACTTCCCATATTTGATGAAAAATACTAGCCTATGTATCCAAAAAGATCAGCAAACTATGTAGAATAAACATAGAGGTCCACAGATAGACACATCATAATTTAGCTGTAAAAGACGAAGAAAGAATCTTGAAAGCAGCAAGAGAGAGCAACTCATGTGCACAAAAGATTTTCAGTAACATTAATGCTGGTTTTTCACCAGAAACTTTAGAGGTAAGAAGGCATATTGAAAGTGCTAATAGAAAATAAATCAACAAAGGACTTTATATTTGGTGAAACTATTCACCAAAAATGAAGGAAAAATTAAGCATTCCCAGGTTAAAAAAACAAAAACAAAAAAAACTGATAGAATGTGTTAATAGCAGATATGCCTTACAAAAATACTAAAAGGACACCTTCAGGCTGAAATGAAATGATACATGTTAGGGACTACATGTTGGTGTGCCTCCAAAATTTATGTCTTTCTCACAGGTGTATATAGTGACTGTTTCATTGCTAATCTAATTCTAGATCTAACAAAAGATCTTGCATGTGATCCTTCTATTTTCATCTAATAAGTTACTCATACGCAATCTCAACTTTTATTTCATTGAAACATGTGCACTCTATCAGTTTTAAAAATCTTTCCTAGTTTCCTTGACTGACCACTCCCCACATGGATTTACATTGTTAACATTGTGAAGAGAGTTTCCTTCAACAAAATCTAATGCTTTGTGGCCACCACAGGCCACCATATGAAGGCTGTGAATGCTTCTTTGTGAGCCCAGAAGATATAATCAGCAATTCTTTAGCATTTACTTCTTTGGTGGGTTCACCTTCCACTTTCGCATTCTTTGACCTCTCTTCTCTGCACATTTTTCCCTCATAAGGATCGAAATAGCTTCACAAAGGCTTTGTGTGAGTAAAATTATAAAAAGGTCTTACACCAGCCAAAGAAGTATCTAGATTTCAAAATCAATGCAAAAAAATTTCCATAATATTTTATGATGAGGGTGGGATAATGTAATTTGGCTCTCTGATAATATTAGTCATTTCAATTAAAAAAAAAACCTTTATATATTATGCTTAGAAAAAAGAAATGGGTATATCATTATTACTAAAAATTTCCCCAATAAATGACCCAGACATTTCCTACATGCCCAGAATAGCTTTTTTTTCCTAATGGTAACCTGCATTTTCACATTTCAAAATTTCTACCATCCTGTCTTCTTATTCAGAAAACTCACTGCTACTAGAATTCCGGGAAAACCGTGTCCACAGGCTTTTTGTTAGAAATTCACTATACCAAAGCTTTAAATTAACACAGCAATAAAATTTCTGGAGGTCCATTTTTACTGTTGATTTATTTAAGAAATATAGCAACACGCTTTAAATATTCAAAGGTTGCCTTAGGTGTACTCGGAGACTAACGCTAACACCTTTGAGGACTCTATTTCATCATCCAATCAAATCTGGGGTTATAAACTCAAAGCCAATGAGTGCAGAGCAGGGGGCGGGGCTTGGGGCAAATAACTGTCAGTGAGGTTGTGCAGTTGGTTGTGACTGCTCTGGGGTGAACGAAATAGCTAACCTCTACTCTCATTTACATACCACAGGATAATCCTCCTGAAGCTTTGGATGGTGAGCCATTCCTAGCTTCCCCTTCTGGAAGTTGCCCTTCCACTCTGGTACTTTCTTTTTCAGCCTCCCTCTGAGATGAACAAATGTATTCCAGCTACGGACTCAGCCACCTCTTACCTCTTGGAGTTCCCACCTTTCCTTTGGCAGCTGATCAAGGACTTCCCCAAAGATCAACCAGTCTCTCAGTTGGAATGTCTGTCCCTTACCCCCCGCCCCATGCTCCAGTAACTTCCTCTATCAACTTTCCTAATTATTCACTTGGCTCGTGTTCCTTCCCTTTTTTTTAACGAGGTACTGGGAGGAAAGCACACTGATGCTGCGGTGAATCTCCTCAGGTGCCGGGAGCTGAGCTGGAGCTGAGGGAGGAATGAGTGAAGCCGAATTAGCAGGGCAACAGACCACCCACCTTCAGAGTCTGTGAGTAAGACGCTGCCGTATTCTGTGGTAGGAGAGTTTACTGAGAAGATAAACTAATCCCAGTTTATCTGCCATAAACCGTTAAGCAAGAGCTTGGCAGCTTGTGAAGATTACTGGGATGTTTGGGTAGGATACTTTGTCACCTTAATCCTGCAAAATGTACTGGTTAAGAGGAAGAAAGAGCTCTGGCTGGTGTGGTTCACTTGGGCCCCAACTCCAGGAGGCAGCATGCAGGAGGAGCCCATGGATGTTTCTCTCTCTCCCTCTCCTTTCCTCTCTAAAATCAAT